CTCAACCTACCTAGCTTAGCTCTTCCCCACTGGAACTTGGCAACCAGACTGAACAACAGTTTCCCTGTCAGAAATCTCTTGATGCAAAATGAACAGTTAATTCACAGCAACAGTCACGCTTTCTACTCTAAAGAAATTCTGACCTAAGTTCATATATCTAAGAGTTGTGGCTGTGGACAGGTCTGGGACGTTGACTTTTTACTGAAGTGCAGGTCCACGGGTGCAAAGTTTCAATAGGCACAAACTGGCTGTAACTATGCCTGATCTGACAACTGGGAGACTGTCTGATCACTGGAGCACGAAGGCTCTGGAACAGCTCTTTGGTTGGAGGCCAGATGCCTGACTTTAAAGTGAGTGCATAGATTGTTGATTCTGTGCTCTTTCATTCTAACGCTAGTTAGGAATTACTGCTAATAAATTTATTGTCTACAGCTGGACATGGACACGTTGTCAGGGTCATACTTGTTACTGCCATTATTGATGCTTGCTGAGTATCACATGCACCAAATGAAGCATTAGCAACTTAAAGAAGGTCACACAATGGAAAACTTTGCCCATGCTGGTAGAAAATGTACCTTGTAGGTACAATTTACAAGGTTTGAACAATATAATTTATTTTTACTTTGAACTGAAATGCAAAGGCATCTATCCCATGGCCTTTCAGAACATACCTTCCAGATATAAATTCACTGCCTTATCTTACCTTCACGGTCCTGAAAGAATGAAATAACTTGACATCAGCAGTTTTTGTGCGTTAATGTTTCCACATTTTTTCCTATTGTGTTTATTCAAAGGAAAATAATACCAAAGCTAGCCCTAATAAGAAAAATCTGGATCCTATTTTCACTGCAGAAAACATGGCAGTCTTCAAAGATTAAAGAATCTGCGTGCAGTTCCTCTGAGAAAATGGAGAGCAGGGACCTAACCTCTGGACCTGAAGCGCTCCACACTGTGTGTGATAGTTACGGAAAAAGAGTAACACAAGAGGTGTGCCTGGGCTTCACAGAGAGCCTCATGAAGTAAGCAGAAACTTTGGCTGGAATGGACAGTATATTAAGTCTTCCATCTGCAGCTGCTTAAGACTCTAGAAAGCCAAAATGCCCATGAGTGTGGAGTATCTTTGCTAATCCTTTATGGCTCACAGGTTTCTGTCTCTCCTGCTCCAGGGAAAACCCCTCTCTAGCAACCTGAATAACCAGGCTTGTTTCAGTACAGAAGGATAATCTGGCCCACAGTGCACTGAATTACACCGTTTCCTAATAGCTGTATTACTCTCTGCCAGCTGAACAGTGTCTGGATGCCAGATTCTGCAGAGATCTGTATCATATCTCTGTAAACACGCTTTCTGAATATGGCAAACTTCCATATATTCTGGTATTTTCTGCTTCAAGTAATACGGAAAAAAAAGAGACTATTTTTTTTCCATCTGACTGCATTTTAGATAAATACTAAAATCCCAGAATACTTGGAAGAATGAGTAATAGTCACCAATGAGGGGGAGGAGGACAACTGTTATAAAACAGCATCTGCCCTGTATGAAACCAGCTCAAGACTGACAAACCCAGAATCTGCAATTGGCAGTTTGTTTTGCTTTTCTTCAAGAAAAAATCTACTTTTAAAAATCAAAAAGTCTGAATAATTTTACCTTGAAAACCTTGGAGGTGCCTCTCCTTTCCAAGTCAGTATTAGTTACAACTTGAAGTGTGTCCTTGTCTGTGTGAAAGAAGAAGCTTAGTGATTCTTAACTACCTTTTTCTCTAGAAGTCTGCATGTTAGATTTGCTCATTCACCACAGGGTCACCACTTGACATTCACGAGTTGGCTCTCAAATACAGTAAGCCTGGGAGCTAGACCCAATACAACTGGGCCCTCCCAGTTTCCCTGGAGCTAAACAGAACAGACAAATGCAAGTCAAACCAACAGCAAAAAGCTACTTTTACTACCAGCAGTGAATATTACCATTTGAATTCAGCTATTTCTAAGTCCGTAGATCCTACTGTGGAGTTCACTGGTGCCTTCCAGGATGGATCAGCAGTGCCGTGGAAAGAGGCTGTAAAGCGATCGTGTGTCATGTTACCCAGCAGGTATACTCTATGGACAGTCATAGCAGCCACAGTAAATCTGTGCATCTTATTAATGCTTGCAGCCTGGTTCATCCTACTTCTGCTTTGTAAGGCTTGGGCAAGAGGAAACTTCTTTTGACTCTCTGGCACAGGGACTCTCTTGAAGAGCAATTTGGGTATGAGGAAAGGAATGTTTGCTTACTTTCTTTACTGTGGTTCACAGGGGTAATTCCTTGCTGAATACCAAACTGGTGGATATTCATTCACATTTTCACTAACTTCTGGCCACACATCTTTTTGCCAACACGGAAAGCATGCCCTCTCTACTATCATCTGAATAACTACAGCCAGTTAAGCAGTTTGTAAGGAGAAAAAGAGTAAAGGCTGCTGTGGAAGCAGATCTGTTTTACTCCACAGCTGTAGAGCTCTGATCACTGTACAAATGTATGACAGAATCAAAACTGCTCAAGTATTTCTAACAATGAATGAATTTCACGACATATGAGATGCTTTCACATATGAGACGGACTTTACTTCAGAAGTAAACACTTAACTCAGAGGTATTCAGAAGAGCTCCAAAGGGCATTTAACAGCTAATTCTAGCTGGGAAGCCAGAAAAGCCACGGAAGAAGACCCAGTGACTATGGCCATGTGAAGAGGGGACTGGGGAGATGAGGGAGATAGGCAAGCATTTAGAAATACCAGCAAGAAAGACACAGGAAATACAGTGCCAGCTTACATAATACCAGCCTGTAAATGCAACAGGACAACAGCAACATTTGCCAAAGCATTGTCAATGGTATAGAAGGCTTCTGAGCTGTGACTGAGAATGAAATAAAAGGTACTGGCATAAGGACAGAAATGACATGATGAGAAGGGCTGGTGGAAAGTAGAAAGCTACCAAGGACAGATTTATTTTGGTGCACAAGGAAAGATGTTGCTGAATTTCAGGACAGATAACTCCTGCCCGAGACTGAAGATGTATGTGCATAGTCATCTAAAGACCTAGATTAATCCAGTAACTTTGTAATGTATACAGTTCTCCTGCTGCTCATACCTTCTCAGCCACAAGGATACATTCCTCTGCTGTAAATGTAGAAGCTCTTCTCAAGTCTTATTTGTCTTAGTTGTTCAGCTCAAACCACAAGACATAACTTCTACTTCATAATGAGCTTTTCTTTGTCTAGTCCATATACATGGTATGGAAGCTTGTTCACTCACATGAGAACAAGATTACTTAAACATGAAACATCATTGCACGTCTTCAAGTTCAATAGAGATGCAGAAATTATTTTCACCTCATAATTAAAACAAAACCTGGAAATCAAAAGACAATCCCTTTCATTGCAGCACTGGAAACATTATTGTGAACTGCCTTTACAAAACCACAGTAAAGAGCAAGCTAAAAGGACACACATAATGGTAGAGTTTTCATTCAGACCATGTAATTTAAGTCTGAATTATATTAGATCAAAGGCAAACTGAATTAAAAAAATACCTGTTGGATTATGCAGAATGGAGTTCCTCTGCTTAATAGCTCTGGGAAGATTACAGTGTCATAAGGCTCTATCAATCAGAACAGAAAAAACAAAGAGCAAGGATAAATCGAAGGTTAAGTGCATGGTGCTGAGGAACACCCTAACCACCTTCCTTTTACTATTATAAACCGGATGGATTTGTGTTGATGGATCTATTAAGAAGGAAAACCAGCAATCTATATTCAGACAGAGGCTTTCTGCCTATACATTTCCTCTGATGTGTAGAACCATGTTATATTTTGGCATCTCAGTTAACAGACTGTCACTATTTCTGTCGATTTTCTAACAAAAAGAAAAGGGCTCAAAGGGCTGCTTATTAATTTATTTATAAACTTTTCTTTAGCCCAGGAAAAGACAGCACTCCAATATATTTTCATTGTTTCTGTTTAACAGAAGATCAGAACAAAAGAAAACAAAGCCCTAAATCCACAGAAAGGCAAACTCCTTCCTAATATAACTCCAGTGAAATAATTTCATGTAGCCCAGAGATGTGCTCAGTCTGTGTTTTTTGCTGTGATGAACACAGGAACAGCAAGTGTCCTAAATACTTCAGGAATCTCAAACAACGTAACACCTACACAGCAGGATTCAAGATGGAGATTATGGACTGAAGTGAATTTCATTTCTGCTTTGTTTCTTTTTTTGTTGCAGGGCCTGGAGACTGTATATCCTCACAGAACCACCCAGCTCCTTTCCAAATCAAGAGGTCATCTGAGCTGGGTTTCAGTGGGAGCTGGAACAGGCCATACATGCATAGGACACCTACTCTTACCTAACAGTGTGTTATTATATCATGCGATCCCTATAAACGTGTACCATCAACATATTCCAGTTGCCTACATACTCCTTTTTGCTACTGCAGGCTATTTGGTGCCTTTAGTTCAACAACCGCACTCTTTAAAAGGACAGTGTTAATTTTGTCCTAAAACTTCCATAAAACCTGAAACCTAAGGAATTGCTATAAGCTATTGTGATAAACACCCCGGGGCAATGCCTGAATTCCCATACAGCAGCAATCTGAAGCTACACTAAACAATATAATCAGAAGTAAAACTGCTTCTGTTAGCTTTCATTAACTTTGTTGTTTGATGCTGACCAAAACATCATTACTTGAGTTTTAATTGTGTCAACAGCACCTCCGTAAGTTGTCAGCAGGCTGTATGGCTACAGACAGCAGCAAAGGCAATAGAAGCCCTCTGCTGTAGTAGCACCTAGGCCAGCTCTGAAAGAGACATTCAGGGTGCTTGGGTCTCTTTTGTGTCTATGGTTTGGGAAACCTCTGCTTCACAGTGTTCTTAACAAACTTGATGTCTCTCATCCCCCTGTAAGATTTAATTTAAAATTGAATGTACAGCTTTACTCCTGGATTATGCTACCACAAGTTCTGATCCATTAATACCCTCCCTACCTTTGGGATGTCACTCCAGCTTGTTTTTCCTAGTGCTTCTGCTCTTTTCTAATGCAGTATGAATGGTATACATGCTGAAAAGGGTTTGTTTCCCATAATCATTCCATGTGAAAAAAGCACCAAGTTCTGAATGGAACTGAAAGGCTCAAATGGAATTGATCATTTCTAGGCACATGAGGCTGAGGAGAGAAAACAGGGTGGTTCTTCCCACCCCCATCCCTTTCTTCCAAGTATGGATTAAATCACACTTTGTAAATAAAACCTGTGCGAATTGTGTGCCAGGTCACATCCCGTCTACATCCTCACAAGCACGAACGATTCTGGAAAGATTTAGCACACACATTAAAGGGCTCGTGGAAACAGTCCAGAGCGCTTCTAACGGCTTGGATCCAATTAAGTCATTCAAGTCGTTTCTTTTTAAATAAGACTCGCAGGAACACGCTAATTTTAGGAAGCGAGGGGGCGGGAAGGGGTGTTCCTCTCCCACTGGGGAGCCCTTCCCGAGGGGGCGCGCAAAGCAGGGCAAGGAGAGCGCTCCCCGCCCGCCGATCCCCTCAGGCCGTTGCGGGTCCGCCGACTCCGCAACAAGCCCTCTCCGGCGGCGGCCGCTCGCACTTCGCCCCGACGGGGAGGGTAAACCGCTCCCTCGGGCAGGAGCGGCTGAGGGAGCCCCCGCTCCCGAGGCTCCCGCGGGGACAATACGGGAACAGCTCCGCACCTCGCCCCGCGCCGCGCCCCAGCCGCTCCAGGCCCCCTGCGAGCTCCGCCTCACCTCAGTGACCGCGCCCCACCTGCCAGCCAGGCGCTGCCCGTGACGTCATGGACACACCCCCTGCCCGGCGGGCGGGCGGGAATAACGCCTCCTTAGCATGCAGGGGGCGGGGGGAAAGGGTGAGCAGGCGCTTCCCATTGGCCTGCGCTGCTGCCAATCAAGCGCGGCGGTCCCGCCCCCAGCCCCGCTCGTGGACGTTCCCCAGAAGGCGAAGCAGAGAGCGGTGCTGCTTTGCGCGCCCCGGCCAGGGCCGGCGCAGGTGGAGCGGGCGGGCGGCTCTTTATGGTTGCAGTTGTCGCTGCCGTCAGACTCTTTCCTCCCGGCCGCAGGGCGCAGCTGCCCGGGGGCTATGGCGGAGGCGCCCGGCGGGCGGTAGATCGGCCGGTGAGGAGCTCAGGTGGGAAGCGGCGTGGCAGGGCGTATCCCCCGGGTGGGCTGGCGGCGGTTGTGCCTCCCCTCGCGGAGGTGCTAGTTCTGCACGGGAGTAAAGTGTCCTTTTACCTCACGGAAGGCACCGTTCTCGCTCGGTTCGCGCCGAGGGCGACTGCGGGCCGGGCCGTGGGCGGGCTGGCGGCGGTTGCCGTTGCAGCGCCTTACCCTCCCGCCTCCAGCAGAGCCCCTCCAGCGGCCGTCTGGAGTCCCTGCCGCCCGGTTACAGCCCCGCGCGGCTGTTCAGGAGCTGCCGCCAACTTAAACACCTTTTCCTGCTTCGGGAGGGTGCTGCTGAGGGCTGCGCGCTCTTTGTGTGACTCCCGCTGTGCGCCGTGTGGCACCGGGACGGAGCGGATTCCAGATTAGCTGTGGTACCCTTGGCACCAAGAAGTGGCTTTCCTGGAGGGAAGGGGCGAGGGCAGGGCTTCCCCCCTTTCTGTGTGTTCTGGGGAACGGAGCTGTCTGTAAGCGTAACTTGGGAAATGTTGGGCATGTTTGCAGAGCCGTCGCTCTCGTCTCAGTCTGTGGCTCTCTGTGTGCGTGCAAAGTAAAAACGCCACCGTTTTAGTTAGTTATTTGCTTTCCTTTCGCACATCTTTAAGAAAATAGGTTAATTAAGGCTAGCCGCTTCAGTTTCAAGGTTGATTTAGTTTTCATTTGAGGACAAATTAGGCATTACGAGCATTTAAATACTCCATTACTCGAGAGCTGCTTGGTGCGGTTCACTGGCACTTGCTGATTTATTTTTATGAGGGAGGTTATCTGGAATGGCTGGAGAAAAGGGCGTTTAACAAATTTACTTTGCCTTGTAAGGTGATTTGTGTGCCTTACGTTTTTGTCCTGCGCCTCTAATGCCAGTAGTAGTGTTTTTCCTTCTGCACTTTATTGAGAAGGGATACAGGGAGCACTTGATTGTTGCTTCATCTCTTGACTTTCATCGATTAATGGTAGAGTTCAGAATGTTTCACTCTAATTTCAGCAGTGCTTGTAAGTCTGGTTTCAGTATTCAAAGCAGGTATTTTCATGTACTTTTTCTGTAAAGCCATAGATAACAACAATTTTAATTTCTGTGAGCTTTGTTTTTTATTATTGAAAATGTAAAAGGAAAACAGATCTGAAATAATACTCCCTAGGGTGTAGTTCCAATAGATTAAGCTAAATATTTTCTACTTTGGCTCCTAGTCTATTTCCAAAGGAATAGCATTCACAGTTCATTATTCTGTTTTCTTTACCCTGATATCCCCCTTCCTACACACAGTCTTAGCCTGTTTGTTTCCTCTCTTAACCATTTTCTGTAATATCTAGGTTGTTTTGGGGATTGGAGATGCTCTCTGTGTATGAGTGTGCACTGAACAGTTGTGGTTAGACTGAAATTACTAGCATGTTCACTAAGGGCAGGAAGTGATGGTGAGACTCAGTTATTGCAACACTGCATGCGTGTCTTGCTCAGACACATTAACAAATGTCAGCATACTGTATTTTATACAAAACCTTATTTATTTTAGTAGCTGTGTGTATGCCATTGTAAAGAATATTGGATCTAGTTCAAGCCTCATCTGTTATAAACAGATGCATGTCACTCTTAACAGCCTTTCCTTCATTTGTTGCATTCTGAAGGTCTTGTTACATGCTGTGTAGAAGTAGAGTGAAATAGGCCATTACTCTGGCAGTCTTGGATCTTACGGTTTCTTGTTGAAAAATTGAGTTTTCAGTTGCTATAAACAGTGCTTTTAGCTACAAAATGAGGAAAGCCTTCCCATTGAAAGGAAACTCATATATGAATTGCTAATATGTTTTAGGCTTAAATCTTAGTTGCTGTAATGTGCCTTTTAAAAAGATGCAGTGATGAATGAGGCAGCAGAATATGTGACTGTGCAGACATGAGGTACTTTTACATGTGAGAAGCAGCATAGTATTTATATCAGCATATTTTGATCTTACTGAAGTCAGTCTCAATTGATTTCAGTTACGATTTGACTCACCAAAGGCTCAGAGTTTTGCTGGTAAAAGGCTGAGGGATAGACACTGTGGTACACCACTACTAAGGTAGCTGAAGAAACTTCTAGGAGAATCTAATTGCCTTTTCCTGTATCAAGTTTCAGATAATAGGTTGCAGATATTGTGAGTTCTGGCAAACAGCTCCCCAGACTGGGACTGATGTTTCTGTTACAAAATTTACCTGGCTCTGCTCTTTGAGATTTGCATGTCTGTCTTGTGCGTTTGTGGTTGTGTTCAAGCAGTATAATTTGGGTGACTAGTTTTGGTTTTGTGAAGCTGTCAGTTGTGGTACAAGTATGTAAATTCTTGAATATTATGCCTCAAAGCACATGTTACATTGCTCTAGTTTGTCGTTTATCCAAAGGACAAGGAGGTTTTGTGTATTTAACATTCTGTCCTGTTGTGGGTACTTGTCCTTATTCTGCTAATGTAAAACATATACCCTCAATGTTAATTACCTTAGAGCAAAGTTTGCTGCCTGCCTTCAAGGTCGAGTGATATGGGCGTTGATGCTAATGAAATGACAATCTAGGTAAAATTGGAAGCATAATAGCTAAGAAAAGCACAGCTGTGAGTCTGATCCTGAGAGGCAGGATATCCATAACTCCTCCTCCTTTCAATCTGTTCTAGCCTGTTGCTCATGCGAAGTTCTTGAAGCTGCTTGTGACTTTCATGTAGTGCATATGTTCAGAAATAGCAGATTCTATTATATATGAAGTTATGACATGAATTAGCACAGTGTTGCAGTAGTGGTTTTGGAGCTCTGTTGATATGAAACTTATGGCACATTGTTGCAAGTTGCTTGAAATAAAAATAAATTTGAGGACAGTCTCAGCAGAGGAGGAAAACACAAAACTTGCACAGATTCTTTATGATTTTCTGTATTCAGGTATCTCAACTGAGATAATTGTTAAATGATCAGAGTTGTTTTTTTTTTAAATATGGGTTCAATAGCAATTCTGGTACCTGCCTTGTTAGTAAAAGCAGCAAGTACTCTTACTGAGCACTAGCTGAGACAGAGAAATGTATTCGGCCAGTTCAGCCCAGTGCAGCTCAGCTTCTGCCTGCCTGGTGTGCCAGAGCAGCGCTGACTCAGTGCAAGCTCCTCAGGGTAGAAGTCACGTGTTGGTGTGTAGCGCTGAGCATGGAAGTGCTTAATCCTATTTCCGTGTCTGGGCACTCTGTGATGCTAACCACGAATGTAAAGACATAGAGTTGAGCCGCTTTTCATGTAGCAGGTGCTGAGCAATTTTTGCAATGCCTGTTTGCTGATGATTGACAGAATTTGGCTGAAGCTGTTCTAGATATGGCTCTTGAATCTTTTTCTGTGGGAAGTACTGATAAGCGTGACTTGACAGGAATCCCTGTTATGTGCAACAGGAGGAAGTTAAAAGGGTGAGAACTGACTTTCACTGAACTCTAAGCACTAAGCCGAAGCAGTACATTAAGAATTGCTATGAGTTTCTAGCTCGAGAGATCTCCAAACTTAGCAATTGTATATCTGGCTGTAAGACAGACTGAGATAAAGATAGAGGCTGCCTAATAGCATCTGGTAAGTCACAGAAGGAAGGCTGTAGTTATGATTCTTTATGCAGCTCTGTGCACTGGTTTTCAGTTTTTTTACAATTTAGACTGAACTTGAAAAATCCTTCCTTTGAACTCACTGAATAGCGTATTAGACAAGCTCTGTGTTCCTTGTCTGACCAAGAGGTGGGTATGTATCTGTGTTTCTAGATTTACCACTTTAAAGTCCAGTTGCTAAATTACAAGTATTTGAACTGAAGAGTCCCTCTTTAGTCTTTAAGTTGTGGGGTTTTGATGGCTGAATCCTGTTTAGGTTGGCAAACACAGCTGCCGCCATGCCAACACTTAATTATTTCTTTCTGGATGTTTTCTTTGACACTCATGTTAATATGGGTGTGCAAACACAACTCCCT